AGACATTTGCCTGTTCTTCCAGATTAGTTTTTTAACTTTTTAGTTTTGTTTTGCTTTATGCTTTTTTGCATTTTAAAAATGGTGTGTGTGTGTGTGTGTGTGTGTGATGTGATGTGATGTTTGCAAGTGTCATACAAGTCAGATGTCATTGTTGCAAGTTTCCTCTATTGCTGTCCACTCCATTATTTTTTGAGACAGACTCTCACCGAACTTAGCTGATTTTAGCTTGACTGGCTGAACAGTAGGTCCTCCAAAGCCTGCTCCCCTCTCAGCAGCCTCTCTACACATACCTATGTGCTCCTACCCCACTTCCTGAGTGCTGGGATTAAAGGCATGCACCACTACTCCTGGCCAAAAGTAAAGATTTTAACAAATATTGTGTGTGTTAAGGAACTTGGATTTTATGGCGTTAGTACACTGCTGGTGTCTACAGGCTTGTTGTTGAACTGAGGGCTTGTTCAACAACCCAACCTGTGGGGTGCTGCAGGCGTTTTCTTTACAATTAATGGTTGCCAGTAGTAACAGGTGGAGAAGACTCAATTCTCTTTCCCTTCTCTGTCTTGACCTGCTAGCTGTTGCTTTGGACTTTATGTGTATGACATAAAGGAAAAGGAGCCAGGTGTTAACCCACACCTTTAATCCCAGCACTCGGAGGAGGCAGAGGCAGGTGGATCTCTGTGAGTTTAAGACCAGCCTGGTCTACAGAGCAAGCTCCAGGGCAACCTCCAAAACATTACTGAGAAACCCTGTCTCGGGAAAAAAAAAAGTCATTGAGAAAAAGGGACAGCATGGAGGAAATGTTTTAAATTTAGGTAGTCCTTATTTGACAAATTAATTGTATTGTCTTGGCTTGCAAGTTAATTAGTTGGGATTTGTTGTTGGGCACAGAGAATTGAGCCCACACCTCACACGGGAAAGCACACACTCCACTACTCAGCCATCTTCACAGCTTCATGCAAGATATTTCAAATTGCCTGTTTCTGGGGCCAGGAAGATAATTTCCACAGCCGAAAGTGCCTATCACCAAGCCTGATGACCTCAGGTCCATCCCTGGGACTCACACGGCAGAGAGAGAGACCCAACATAGGCTGATTGTCCTCTGACCTCCGTCTGTATAGGTATTAAAGGAGTGTGTGAGTGTGTGTGTGTGTGTGTGTGTTGCTGTTCTCAGCCCTAGGGATTCATTATTCAAGGAAAGTATTCTGTTTCTTAGCTGTACCCCCAGGTCCAGTGTTAACCACCCTGAGAACAAAACCTTCACCTCATCATTCCTCCATGTTTAGGAAGTTACCTTTGTTTTTTTTGTAATGAAAATGAAAGCCATATAGAGTATGGCATTTTCTGACAGTTATCTACTTGTTTGTTTATTCATATATGACTGCAAAGCAAATCTGTTATTTAGAGACTTATCTAACTTCTAGTTCCACGTGGTATCCTTACAAGCCATGATTTGGTTTTTATCCTGGAAAATGAACTGAGGTCTGATAGTTTAGCAGAAGTATGGATAGGGAGAAGGTTGTCCTAGTAACAGAGGTTTAGAGATTAACGTTTTTTTAAATAGATAAATAGATTGTGTCTTCCAGGTAGATTGATACCTGGTTAAGGTTAAGGAGGTCATTTGTAACTGGATATACCAAAAGATGTCACCATGATCTCCTTCACTTTCCGGTCCTCAGTTTTCCAAGCAACTTATGATGCAAGCGTCAAGAAAAGAAGGGCAAGAACCCCAGTAGTAAGACAAGAGCCATGAGGTACCACCAACCAGGTAGTGCTTTACCCTACAGTAGGATAAAGGCCCAGTCTGGAGTATGGGGACTGAGTGGAAGAAGGGGTACCCCACAAAGAAGTCCATACCAACTTCTGGGGTGGTTTGAGTGACCACGGCTCCCATGGCTCATATGTTTGAATGCTTGGTCCCAGTTGGTGGAACTGTTTGGGAAGGATTAGGAGGAGTGGCCTTGTTGGAGGAGGTGTGACACTAGGGATGGGCTTTGGGATTTCAAAACTCCACACCATTCCCTATTAGCTCTTTCTTGTGCTTGTGATCAGAAGTAAGTTCTCGGCTATTGCTCTAGCAAGCCATGCTTACCTGCCTGCTGTTGTATTGCGCTCCTCAATGATGGTCATGGACTCTAACTCTGTGGAACCATGAGCTTGAAATTAAACACTTTTCCTTTTTTAAGTTCCTTGGTCATTTTGTTTTGTCACAGCAGTGGAAAAGTAACTAAAACAGCTTACTTCTCCAATACCAGGATTTTACACCGTGTGTTTTTATTATGATGATTCATTTCAGATTAGGTAGAGCACTCACTGAAATTCATGTGAAGGGAGGATCCTACACCAAGGAAAATATCATCATGAATCATCAGGAACTAAGGGGTTGCCTTTGTTAAAAAGATAGTACTCATAGTACTCACTTTATACTTAAGTAGGAGTGGAGGGAGGAGGGGAGAGAGAAAGAGACAGAGAGGTTTAAGTATTTTTACAGTAGTGTTCTGTCTCTGTGTGTGTGTGTGTGTGTGTGTGTGTGTGTGTGTGTGTGTGTGTGTGTTTTGTAGTTATGTTTCAGAGAATACAGCTTAGAACCAAGTTGGAAGATGAAGCAAAGTCTGAAAATTAAGTAAGAGCTATGAACTTGTTTCATTTTGAAAATGAAGGTGGTTTATGAGGTACATTGTTCAAGTTTGAGGAAGAGGGAAGTACTGATAAAAATAAACCCAAAGGTCACAGACTTTAAAAAGAATAAACAAACCTAATTTGTGAGAATCATCCCTTCAAGGAAGTAGGAAATGATACTGATGGCAGTATTTGAGGAGTAACAGTCAACTAGTCAAGGTTCAAGAAAATGTATTTTAGGATACGAGGTGTAAGTGTGCTAAACTCCTGACATTGACCTTATATCTCTATGGCTAACGTTCTGTGGAATTGCCTGAACGTAGGCAAGTACTCTACCATGGAGCCACATTCTCAAATTAGCAAATATTTGAGAAGTGTTTGTAGCAGGCTGTAAGACTTTGTTCTTCTAACCAATGTGTCATGCTTCCTTTACATTATCTTCATGCCACAGCAGACCACATTTTCAACCCTCATGACAAATTTCATGTCCTATCTAGTGAGCTCCTTAGTTACTTCCTGAAACAATGACTGCTACTTCTTCTTTCTGTTATCATGTATTCATCTGTGTGACAGATGAGACCAGTTTCAATCAAGTTCCTAACATTTTTAGTTTGTTCAAAAACTCTTTACGTCCTTTTCTTTCTGTATTTGTATTAACAGCATAAGCATTTGATTGGGGGTTGAAAGGGAGGCATGTGTGTCCTTAACAGAGCTGTCTTTACCACCTGGCTAAGGCTCACAAAAGCTGCCTGCCTAAATCATGACAACCAGAAAATATGGGGCATTCTTAAGTGCAGTTCTCCCACTTGCTGATGATTTAGGGAATGTAAATTATGTAGCCCTCTCTGAACCAGAAATAAGCAAATAGGGGTCAGCAATCTGAAGTTTCTGTTTGGTTGTTGTTGTTGTTGTTGTTGTTTTAAGACATCTTACGACTGTAGTTGAAGTTGGGCTCAACTGATCCTCCTGCCTTCATGTCTCTAGGGTTCCAGATAGATATTCACTCTCAGGTCTAACCAGCCCTCAGCTTAAACAGTGTGCTTTAAAATTGTACAGGGCTTTCAGTTCCTTCTTTACATTTATTTTAAGATATTCACATAAAAATAATTGTGTGTGTGTGTGTGTGTGTGTGTATGTATGTGTGTGTTTGTAACATACATAAGTGCAGATGTTTTCAGAGGCCAGAAGAAGGCATCGGATCCCCTAGAACTGGAGTTGCAGGCTGCCTACTGTAGGTGCTGGGAACTGAACTCAGGTTCTCTGGAAGAGCAGCTCTTAACTGCTGAGCCATCTCTTCAGCCACCAGTATTTTACTTTTTGGTACAAGTGTGAATGGGATTGTTTCCCTGATTTCTTAGCATGGTTTTTCTGTTTGTTTGTTTTTGTTTTTCGAGACAGGGTTTCTCTGTATTGTTTTGGAGGCTGTCCTGGAACTTGCTCTGTAGACTAGGCTGGCCTCGAACTCACAGAGATCTGCCTGCCCCTGCCTCCCAAGTGCTGGGATTAAAGGTGTGCACCACCAACACCCGGCTCTTAGTATGTTTTTTATTGGTATATAGAAAGCCTACTGATTTTTGTGTGTTAATTTTGTATACCTCTGTTTTACTGAAAGCATTTACCAGTGCTAAGAGTTTTCTTATGGGGCCGTTGTCATCCTTATATATAGAATCATATCATCTGAAGATAAGGATACTTGGACTTTCTCCCTTTCCTATTTGTGTCCAATTTATTTCCTCCTTTTGTCCAAGCTAAGACTTAAAGTGCTATATTTAGTTGAGTGGAGAAAGTGGACACCCTTGCCTTACTCCTAATGTTAGTGGAGATGCTTTGAATCTTCTTCCCTTTTCTGTAAGGTTGGCTATCGGCATGTATTTAGCTTTTATTATGCTGAGATGTTTGTTTTATTCCTAGTCTCTTCAGCAGATTAGGGATGATAAATATTTTGAGTTTTTTCCCTGGGTTTCATCTCGTTTATTCTTGTTGGAGGATATTACTATGTGATCAGTAATTTTAAGAGTTATGCTACCTTGTTTTTTCATGCCTCTTGTATTTTTGTATTGGGACTTATATATTGGGTTCAGGCATTCGTTGGATATTTTTTTAATCACCTACATTCTTCATTGGAAGTATTTGCAGTGTCTAAAAGGGACTAGGATGTAATTGGGTTGTAGTTTTAACTCTTCATACTCATTTCCACAGTGCTGGGCCAGGTTGCATTTCCAGCAGAGTGGACACATCCTCACTACATTTGTTGTCATATACTGACTGCTATTCTGACTGGGGTATGTTGGACTCTCAATGTAGTTTATTTTGCATTTCTCTGATGGTAAGGGTAGTGAATTTGCTGAAGGGTCTTTATGTGATTTTAAGAAATAGATAATTAATAAAACCCAGAATGAATTTTATAGGATTCAACTGATGCCTCTCTCTGAGCACACACTCAATTTGCATTTCTGCAATCTAGAATGAGGGAGCAGAAATGAAAGTAAACCTGGGGTCTCACACTGTAGCTCAGTTGGAGAGCTTTTGCCTGGCGTGCAGGAAGCCCTGGGTTGTGCCATGAGCTCGTCATCCCATCAGCACTCATACGGTAGGTTCGGAGGTTCAGCACCATCACCAGTCTGGGGGTGGGGGAAGAGAGAGAGAGAGAGATTTCACAAAGGTGTTTGACTTAGCAGTAATTTTCATAGTAGTTGCATGTTCCTCCTGTCTTAGCCCCCTGAAGACTGGTTTTGTTACCCAATGTATAGCTTTGAGGGCTTCCCCCTCCCCCGAGAGCTTAAAGGACCCCTGATCATGCCACAGGTGCCTCAGCAATAGCTGTACATTGTGATTTAGGGGTGGGGAAACCTCCGCTTTTTGTTTTGTGGGTTGTTTGTTAAGACAGGTTCTTGCTATGTACTCCCAACTGTTCTAGAAATCACTGTGTACCCAAGGCTGACCTCAAACTTGCGATCCTGGTAGACTCTCAAGTACTGGGATTGATTTGGGGCCATTAGAGCTAGTTTGTCTGCAACTAAATTTAGATTGGAGGGGGGTGCTGTTCCAGTTATTCTTCTTATCCTAAGAATTCTGTCCTTGAAGACAAGACTTACTGGGTACATTATGCAAAGTCTTGGGATGGATAAGGGACACTTATCAAGGCCTAGAATGGCTCATGCTTATAATCCTGGTGCTTAGTGAAGCAGGCTGATTTCTACAAATTCTAGGCTGCTGTGGGCTCCGTACTAGTGCCAGCTACTACATGATGCCCTGTCCTAATGCAAAAAAATGAGGGAGGAGGAGGAAGAAGCAGCAGCAGAACCAAAGGAGGAAAACCTTGATGAAAGGGAGCCTTGCCTGTGTGGGGGTGACAGGGGTTAACTGTAGTTTATGAAAGGGTCCCTTACCTGTATAGAGGTGATAGGGGTTAAGGAGTTGGACTGTGGTTCATTAACCTTTTAACAATTTGTGATACTTCTCAGAGAGAGAACTGCAGTCCTTTAAAAGGTGGCATGCTCCCTTATGTTGAAGATCATGGGTGCCAGCCAGCAAGATGCTTAAACCAGAACCAAAAGAATGAGGTGGCCCTTTCTCTTTTCTAGTGTCTTCTAGCTTCTAACTGCGTATTATGCCTCGGGCTAATAGGCTTATGCCACAACATTGGCACTTCCACCGTTTATTTCAATGTAGTGTGAAAACCTTACCTGAGAGATTGTGTTGTCCCCATTAAAGTCCCCATCAGTCATGACTGGGCGGGTGGCACTCCAGAGGCAGAGACAAATAGAGCTCTGTGAGTTCCAGGCCAGCCAGGGTTACATAGTGAGACTCTGTCCATAACATAAATAAATTGTTAATTGAACAAACAGAAGTCAAAAAACAGCAAACAACCCAAAAATCTCCCAGCAGTCAGGAACATGTACAGGGTGCAGGCTTCTGTCAGCAGGTGGCAGGCTTCTCCTTGCTGGAGATTGCTCCAGAAGCTGAGGCTCGCTGGAGAGGCAAGAGCTGTGTGCCCAGCTACCCCTCTGGGGCTGGTGTTAGCTGCTTTAATTGTTTTCTTAGCTTATATTCATTGTCTGAAGGTCGTGTCCTCTTTTTTAAAGACAGGATTTCACTATGTAGCCTGGCCTTGTCCTCACAGAGATCTGAGTGTGGGGCTGAAGGTGTGACCCACCATGCCTGGCAGGTTTTGTACTGTTATGTAAGCACTGAGAGTTGCTTTGACCTTTAAGCTATAACTTTTTAACAGGTATGGCAACAATTATGGCAGACGTCATTGTCTTTTTGTCATTTTGTTTTATGTGCTGTTTGCATTCTCTCCCCCTCATTTTTTTAATCTACTAGAATAAGAAGGATACAAAATTGTCTTACAGTTGATGAGGGGTTGCTTAATCTGTTAAGTTCCTTCTTGTAAGTAGGTGGAAGTAGATAGTGTGGCTTGAGACGTTCTCTCTACTACTGGTTATCTCCTCTGCCGTGTCACACACATCACAGCGCCTCATCTATATTGCCCCACATGGCCTTCTGTTTGGGAATTTATGTTGGAGACAAAATTAAGAATCCCATAGTCAAAGCCAGTTGTGGTGTGCCCACCAGTAGTTCAAGCTACTTGGGAGGCTAAGATACAGGATCTCATGAGTCAGTGCAGTTGAGAAAACAATCAATGTCATCATCATCATAAACACCTTTGTTTGTTTTTTTGTTTTTCGAGACAGGGTGTTTCTGTATTGTTTTGGAGGCTGTCCTGGAACTGGATTTGTAGACCAGGCTGGCTTTGAACTCACAGAGATCCGCCTGCCTCTGCCTCCCGAGTGCTGGGACTAAAGGCGTGCGCCATCAACACCTGGCAAACACCATATTCTTAAGAGATTTACTTATGTATATGAGTATTATCTATGCATTTGAGTGTTTTGCCTGCATGTGTGTGGGTGCTGGGAACAAAACCCAGGTCCTCTGCAACAGCAACCAGTGCTCATAACCACTGAGCCATTGTTCCAGCCTTCCAGTCACCCTATTCTTATATGCAGCATCCTTAGGAAAAATGATCAGTTAGTACATCTGCCAAGGTCTGTCTTGTCAAACTGTTAACTCTAAAGGAACAAATGTGTCACTAGATGGACTCTTTACAGGAGACAGGGACCAGCTGAGAACTTCTAAGCCTTGTAGGATGTTGAAATGTAAAACTAAAACTTCCTGATGTTAGTTAGCATTAGGGGGAAAAAAAAGACTCGAGTCAGGTATGGTATAGGGCACACCATAATCCCAGCACTTGGGAGGCTAAGGAAGGAGGGCAGTAAATTCAAGACCTGGGCTACATAGTGAAACCCTGTATTTAAAAAAAAGAAAGAAAAAAATACAGAGCAAAGCAAGTGAAAAGACAGGAAGAAAAGGGAGACTACAGTGCTAGAACTGGAAAGCCCTAGAAGGAGAAACTAAATCTCTTTGGGTTGATAGCATGAACTTGGTACCAAGTCCATACTGCATTATTTGCCTAACTCATAAAGCATCTAGCTCGAATTATTAGCATGACTGCCTTTAGCTTAAGTTGAGTCTAGCAGCCTAAACAGGTAATGTTAATGACATAGTCACCACAGAAAATGATAGAAGAAAATCACCTGTGATCCTGTCCTTCATCTCTGATGACATTTATTGTTTTCTCAGTTGCATTGGCTCATGAGATCCTGTATCTTAGCCGTGTTTGTTATGTGTTGTTGCCATTGTGAGGCGTGAAAGTCTTGCTGTGTGGTGAGTTGTCTTTCTTTGCGTTCTCCATTTTGGCGTGTCAGATAGGATACACTGTAGTATGCTTTCTCATCAGGACTGCCAGTCTGCAAATAACGACATGGAGGCTTGTTAATTGTGAAAGCTCAGCCTTAGCTTAGGCTTGTCCCACTAACCCTTATTACTTAAATTAAGCCTTATTTTTAATTAATCTACATTCTACCATGTGCCTTTTACCTCTTTGCTAGTCTGTATGTCCACGCGCTCTGTATCTCCATCCATTGTCCTGTGTGCTGCCTCTGTTACCTTCTTCCTCTCTGCCTGGAAGTCACTCCTGTCTCTCCTGCCTAGCTATTGGCCATTCAGCTTTTATTACACCAGTCACAGCAGTACCTCTTTACACCGTGAATAAATATCCCACAACAGTGCACCAATAGGACAATGTTTACTTAATATGCTCTATACAAAATAGCAATCTGTAGCAGTAGTGTTTCTTTTCAGCAGAGTACAAACTGTGTTGTGGAAAGTCCAAGATAGAAAAATGTTTTCATCTTGTTCTGTGCTGTTATAAGGTGGAGGCAACAATTTGAGAGATGCAAATCCTGAAAACCAGGACATGGTACATTTAACAGGAAGCGTTGGAAGCTTTTTGACTAAGGGAAAAGGTGTAGACTATTAAAGCTTGTTTGAGTTTCTCAAAGGAAGTTTGAAATCTCAAACACTTAATTGAGGTTTGGGGGAAGGTTTTAGTGTCTCTTGAGATGGAGCCCATAGGCTCTTCTCAGCGTGCAGAGGGTAACCCACCAACCAGTTCACCAAGTAGTGAGGCTGGTTGGCCACCAAGTCCCCATAATTGCAAGCATATGTCACCATACCCAGCTTTTTGAAATGGGAGTTCTAGGGACTGAACTCAAGTCCTTGTGTTTTCAAGGCTGACCAAACCCTAAGAAACTTTTTAATGGCAGACTATGAAGTCATGAATTTTGTTTTGATTCAATTAAATAATTGACAGGCTAGAAATCTCCAAGTAGTTACTCAAACACACAAATGGATTCACTTTCTCCCTTGGTAAAGATAACCGTACTTGCTGGTCAGATAAACAAGCATACAGTTAGTCTCAGAGTGGAGAAGATAACCTGGCAGATAGTTAAGTCCTGTCCTGCCTAGAAACATCTGCCCTTTGGCATCTGAATTACTTATCAGTGCTTGCCCTTGGGAGGTATTCGGGTGGTTTCAGCCAGGCTGGTCACAGTGCAGAGATGAAAGTTCACCCCGCTGCTGAAGAGCTGCCTGTGAATTCCAGCTTCTTTCTAGCCCTTCGCAGAAACACTGGAAAGGCTATTTGAGATGAAAGCCAATTGTGTTGCTTGTTTTGTGGTTCTGAGGTTCAAACCCGAGGGAACTTCATGAATACTAGGCATCCCCCAAAACTCTGTTTGTTTATAATTAAAAATTCCCGTATAATACATTTTGATCACTTCTCTCCAACTGTTCTCAGATCCTTCCTGCTTCCCTACCCACTCAACTTTGTTCTTGTTCGTTCTCATTCATATTCTCCCTCTTTTCCTTTCTCTCAATCTCTAAACAAAAAACAAGACACCCCCCCCCCAAAAAAAACCCCACAAAACATCAAAACAAGAAAAAGACCGATAAAACCAAAAAAGGTCATAATGTAAGAAAAGTCTACAAAAATACCATTGAGTTTATTGTGTGTAGGTCATCTGCTCCTGAACATACGCCCTGCCCTGAAGTGACGCTCCATGAGAAAAAAAAATTATTTTCCCTTTGCCAGAGTGTCAGCTCATATGTACATCCGTCCGTCCCATTGGAAGTGTCTTGAAGTTGAGAGTCATTAATCCAGTAATTTCTGTAGCATACTGTTCTGACATTTTTATTAGAGTGGCACAAGCGTGTGTGCATGATTGCTTACAGTAGCACAACATGATTTTAAACAAAAAAAAAACCAACCTTGAAGCTTTTGTACATAACTGGCATAAAGGTAATACATACCTTACTTTCTCCACATCCCATACTGCCTTACTGTGAAGGGAGGGTTGTGTATGGAGTTCTCTCATGCTCCCCAGATTAGATTAGAGTGCTTGTGAAGGCATTTGCGTGCTTTAGTACTGACAGTGCAAACCCTGAACAAATATTACTCAGTCCTTGGGGATTTTTATTTCTATGTCTCAGACAAGATATTGCTGTGGCTGGAACTTGTGACTCTTCTGCCTCTGCTTTGATGGCCTGGGTGTACTGTGAGCACTTGCCTCCCAGTAAGTCTTGGTTTGTTATTCATCCAGATGTTTGTCAACTTTTCTGATAGTGGACAATATTAATGCTATTTGCTGCTGATTCTCACATTTAAACACACCATTTATTTCCCAAGGAAATCATCTCTTTTTTAAAACTTGAGCTATAAAAGTGGACTGTCAGTGCTGCCCTGGGTCCTATCCTGTGTCCTGTTTTAGACTTCCTGTGTTTCCTATACTGAATCTACCGCTGCTACTTAGTAGCTATATACCTTAACTCACTTAGGAAATCGGAGAATAGTACATATGATATGCAGAGTGGTAGCGACATAGAGTGAGGAATGTCCACACATCTAAATCATTTATGCATTCATGTCATTTAGTTAACTTATTTTTTCACTGCTTGGAATCAAACCAGGGCCTCAAGTATTCTGTGTGATCACCCTGTGTACTGAGCCACACCCACACAGAAGCTAGTAAATTTTAACTAATTACAATATTTAGTTTTATTGTTTCTAAGTCAGGGTCTTACTATGAAGCATCAAATGGCCTAGGACAGTGACACTTCTGCCCCCAAGTACTGGAATTATCAGCCTGAAGCACCACACTCAGCAATGACCATTTCTGAGAGCTTTATACATTTTGTTTCATGTGTGTCAGAGTGTATCCACCCTCTTTTGCTGTTTTGTTGTGTTCGTGGTGCTGGGGCTAGAACCCGGGGCTCTGTACGTGCTAAACAGACTGCCACCCAACCCCAGCCCTATCCCCCTGCCTGTCCTGTGTTTTGGAGTTTGGAGTTTATGTTTTGTAACTGTTGCATGTCTGTTTAGTTTTTGAGACAGTGTCTCATGTAGCCTAGGCTGTCCTCCAACTCTTCAGAGGAAGGTGACCTTGGATTCCTAATCCTCTTGCCTCTACCTCCCAAGTGCTCGATATCAGGCCTGTGTCACTGTGCCCAGGTCCTGTGTAAGAATCAACTGGGTGTTGTCATTCTGGCTGCTTTCAGTTTCTTAGTATTACAAACAAATCTACCGTCTATATTTTTGCAACTATATCTTTGGGTACAACCTTATTTCCTTAGGGTAAGTTACTGGACACTAAGTAGTATGTGTAAGGAACATTTATTATCTGCAACTTTCAGTGATATCTGCAAATATTTCTCTAAGAAGGTATAGAAGTGTGACTCCAAAAGTCTTGAGTTAAAAGAGGTAATCTTTAGGTTAGAGTAGTTAGTGATTTTTTTTTGTTTGCTGTCCTTGTGTTTCCATCACCAATTAGATACAATAAGTCTACCTCTTAGATAAATGTCCTCTTATGAACCTTACTAAATTAATTATAATAAGATAGCAGTGGCTGGGGCTGGAGAGGTGGCACAGTCGGTAAAGCCCTTGCCACACAGAACCAGAATCAGGATCCCAGCACCCATGTAAATGCCAGCAGGGTGGTGACCTACCTGGAACCCCAGCACCACGGAGGCACATAACAGGCATGTTCCGGCCAAGCTAGCTAGCTCACCTAGCTGAATTGTCAGGCTCTGGGTTTAAGTGAGAGACTATCTCAATATTGAGGAGGAGAGCAATTGACAGTCCTGCTACTCTGGAGCCTGAGGAGGCATGAAGATCGCTTGAGCCCAGCCTGAGTAACAACATAAAAAACTCTTTTAAAAAACTTGCTATTTCACAAAGTTTAATTATTGAAATGCAGCCTGACATTAAATTCCTCTGAGCAGAGTAGAGACAGCGGATAGAAAAATTATTTACGTGTGTACAGCTTAACCATGCTTCTGACGATAAAGTTTCCCAGAGCCATGTTCGCCCTTATCTTGCAGGCCCTGGTACAGTATTTGCATATTGCCATCCTACTGCTCAATTGAAAAAACTAGACTAGTTTTGTTTTTTTAAAATAAAAACACTGTGTCTCCCTTTTTAATAACAACAAAATCCCTCATACTGTGTTACACAGGCTGACCCACATAGACACCAATTTTCCTGCCTTGGGTCCTTAGTAGCTGAGACTACAGGTGGACACTTACACCAGTATTTTCCAGTTTTATAATAGTTTTCATAGTTTTGGCATGGCTTTATTAAAATTTACCAAAAACTTCTGGAAAAATATAAAGAAAAGAGAAATAAATATAGTAAGGTGGGTACCATTTCAGTCAAGTTTAAGCATACAGTTTGGTGACACTAAATACTTGTATATTGCTGGGTACCATCACCACTACACACCACGCTTCCAACTGTTTTCATTTAAAAACTGGAACTCTGCCAAACAGAGCAACAGCCTCCTATCCCACGACCCTGGCTCCAGCAACCAACTTCATCTTTTGACTTTGCCTTGAAGTCGAGCTTCCACCGGGGGCGTGCACGCCTCACAAGTGCAGTGCGGCCAGAGACAGCAAGGGTGACTCGGGAGTCCCACCAACAGTGCCCTCTTTGGTTGCTGAGTAGTCGCACCTAGTGCCAAGCTACCGGCTCTTAGCCATCATGTTTTCCCAGCTAGTTACGTTCTGTAAACTAACTGGTATCGAGCTGCGAGCCAGCAGGGCTGTCTGTCACCCATAGCATAGTGAAAAGCTGTTCCGCTTGCGTCACAAGGCTGTTTGCATAAGGCTTAGTCAAAGCTTTTGGGAGCCGCCCTCTGCACCTGTGCTATATTAGTGCGGCTCAGACAGGAAGAATTTTCTTTTGCTGCTGCTGCCGTAGCTTCTCCGGTTACCTTCAGAGTAAGTGCTCACTATTCCTGAAGACAAAAGTTTCTTATATGTAACTTACCATTCTTTATCTTACTGAAAGTTTGGCCTCGTAAATATACAGAGTAGGAAGTAAAAGTAGATTAATCTAATGCAGTGGAATGTAAAGTTCTTTGTGGTTTGCAAAGGTGTAAGTGTGTAAAGCTTCGGGCTGTCTTGGGCTCAATAACTAACTTTTACAGGCTGATTCTAAACATCTGTTACTTGAACATGTGAGTAGTAGACAAGTGGAGAGCAACTCATTCAGTTGCTACATGACTTAATGTTGCACACAGCCATGTGAGTTCATAATGGCTGGTAATAAAGATGAATTTTTATACCTGTGAGCTTTACCCAGGATATTATAGATTGGAGTTACACTAATATATATTATGAATTGATAAAAGCTAGTTTCCTAATGTAACACCTTGGATATTGACAAATTAAGATTCAGACATGTAAGGACTGGGCATATAGCTCAGTGGTAGACCGTTTGCCTAACATGTATGTCTCCTCCAAAAATACATCCTTAAAACACAGAGTGTATGTATCACAGTAAAGTCTAGAATACTTATGGCTATGTCAGATCTCTCTGAAGACAGGGTCTTATAATACATCCTATGCTGGTCTCTAACCTCCTGAGTGCTTCCTGTAGGGAGGTGCCACCAAGCCTGGCCCTGCATCGTATAGCTTCTTAAAATTCGACCACACGGCAGACTGTTGTGTGAGCAGCTTGCTTAGTGTTACTGGATACTGTTGTTACCTGTGCTGATGTTCTAGGAGAAAGGACCCAACAGGAAGAATTCAGAGTATGTTCTGGGTCAGCTGCACAATTTCCATGTGCCTTGGTTTGCTCTCTTGAAAATTGCTGTTGGGTAATAGAACTGACATGGAGGGTAGGCTGGAGCTTGCAAACTGTTTTCATGATTATCCATAAATCCCTGACTTATTTTCCCATTTAAGGAAATTGGCATACATTGCCCACACCGAAATAGACAGTCTGCGAGTTTCTTTTCCTGTTCCCTCCTACGCCTTCAGCTGTTCAGTTTCAGTTTTGTTTACTGTGTGTATCGAGAGTATTTCACTTTCCAGTCTGGGTATGTTTATTTCTGTCTAGGGAGAATTACTCAAATGCAACAAAGAAATTATTACAATCCCCATTAAAAGTGAGTTTATAGTTTATATTTCCATATTATAATCACCCTACAAAATTTGACACCATAATATACCAAACTTAAGAGAGACAGTATTGGTTAGTTGAGAGAGGTGCAATTAAAAATACAATGAATTTACCAGGAGCAGTTAGGACTGTTGCCAGAGCCCCTTTCATACTATACTGAGATTTACCTTTTCTTGTGTAAGAGATACAACACATTGCATTATGTATAATTTCATTACCTTACCAGTGTAATTTTCATGTTTCTGCAAGCATGAAAACTAAAGCAGAGTTGCCACTTAAAAGCTATGTTAATTTATTTTTTTTCTACTTTCCTATGAGCCAGAGTGAAACAAGCCTTTAGAGATACTCAGTTTACACTCCAAATCTTTAAAGTCTGTTTTAGAGCAAGTAAAATGCTTATGTAGACAGCTTACCCATCTTATAGATTTAAAAAACGATAGCCTCAGAATGACAGACAGTAACTAAATTCTTACATGACAAACTCAAAGGAAGGTCTTACCTCTTGCTTCATTCTTTAGCCTTGTTCTACACCTTCTTGTGTTAAATGCTTAGAAACCTTAAGCTCGTACTGAAAGTCCACAAAGGAATTGTTTTCTAGTCTGCAAATTGTTCTAGTTCGTATTTGAAGATTCCAGATGTAAAGAGTTTACAACTTCCTTCGAAGAGAGTTCAGAGTTCAAGGGGAGAGCGTTCTATTTTTGAATGTCTTTTCCAGCAGCTCTTCCCCTGAAGCATCTGCCACAGAGGACTGTTGGCAGAACAAGCTGGAACTTTATATATGCCAGGTATAGGCTTACAAGACTGTTGGTTAAAAATACTCTGCTCTGATGTCTGGTATCTTCTTTCTGAGAGTCCCGGAATGCTGACAACCATGTCTCTGTGTGTGTTTACACTTTTATAACAATAAAGGTCTCAAAGTGAGGTTTGGGCACTGCACTCGTATTCAGACAGGTTTGGTTCGATGAGTGGAGGTTAAATTTGGTCACATTGGTAAGCACTGGGAGGAAGGAAAGCTCCTGGGTTGACATTAGCAGAGCATATGTGAATGACTAAAAGCCAGCAGCTGCTGAGTATGACAGTTGTCTGTCTATAATCCCAGTATTTGGAGCAGTAAGGCGAAAGAATTGCCACTAGTTTGGAGGCAACCGACACTATGTGTAGGTCAGTTGGGAAGGGCCTGATGTGGGTGCTGGAAACGGAACTCCGTCCTCGGCAAGAGTGTGCACATTCTTAATGGCTGAAGTGTCTCTTGAGCACCCATGGACACTTTTGTTAGTGCTTTTATTTCTGTTCTTATGGCATGCTGAAGATCAAGGCCAGGACTACATTCTAGGCAAGTCCTCTACCACTGAGCAACATCACCAGCCCCTAAGTAGCTGTTTTAAAACACAGTTTTGATTCTTAAATTTTACCTTACCTGGAGTAAGGTAAAAATAAAGTCATTATGGGAAAAAAATAGAGATTTATACGATAGAGCAAAACCAGAAAAATAATAAGCGATATTTTCTCTAATTTAAAGGATATAAAGTTTACCCAGCAGCCTCCTAAACAATGTTCATTTCATTTGACAAACACATTGTGTACCAGCTTTGTCCCAAACACAACACGTATTTATACACACAGAAGGATTTAACTTGGAAGAAAATCTATCGGGGAGGAGAAGGGCTCCCTCAAACTCACCTCTGGCTGAGGAGCTCCACGGTTGATGGCTGCTGGAGGAGGCCACCTGTCTCTAGACATTTGACCACTGGTGGGTTCCCACCCTCTAGTGGATGACCTCACGCACATATACATGGAAAACACTAATTAAACACAGTGGGGTGAATCGCTTTTGAAAAAAAGGAAGGAAAAATACTTTCGTATATTATGTTTCTTCTTTTATTTTAATTCCTATGTAGATTTGGTTCTACCAACACAGGCTTTGTGTAGAGAAAGTGTTGATAAAATATACTTGCAAAGCCAATAATTCCACAGCAGAAGGAGGTTGAGGTAGGAGGTTACCCAGGAGCTCAAGGCAAACTTAGACTACAGAGGTCTTTCTTTTCTAAACAAATCTTGCTGTGAAGTCTATTATTGCAAATGTATAGTCCATGTTATCTCTATTCAAACCTGTTAGTACTATTTTAGTTCTTAGAAGAGAGCTTCTAATTCTTGATACAGTATTTTCATTCTAAAACTTTACTTAATAGAGGAAATCTTTGCTGAGCAAGCCGCCTGCAATTCCTAGGTGTTTAAATCATACTGTCTTTAGTCATTAGCATACATTAAGAGCCTCAAATGTCAGTGTGTCACATATACCCTTTTTCCCCCTTTCTTGCTGTGACATCACCTGGGGAAATCCAGAAGATTGGATAACCAAGCGATGACTAATCAGGAGTCTGCTGTCCATTTGAAAATGGTGTGTATGCAAGTGCTTCCTGCTCCACCAGTGAACGGTGAATCTTCTCTAGTTTCTTCTCTCTAACTGTACAGCTGTGGGACTGGGCTTTTCTATAGGACTTTCTTCATGGTGCTTAGCACACAAATGATAAAATCTCAAGTACCTACTGAATTAACTCTCAAATATCTTTGAAATTACTTTGCTTGAAATAGAATACATTTTATAGTTCTTCTTAACGTAAAATGATGGCTAGGTTCTGGTGAGTTTGTTGTTGCTGTTGTTTTCTTTTACTCGTATTTATTTTTTTCAACATGGAGTCTTACTGTATGTGCATGTCAGGGATGTGAGATCCTCCTGTCTCGGCCTCAAGAGGAGTAATGCTAAGATTACAGATATGTGCCACCATGCCTAGCATTGCATATGCCTTACTCCTTTCCTGTGTGTTTACATGTGTGGCTTGGATTTTGTTCTTTGAGACTGGGTCTCTGTGACTCGGGCTGGTTGAACTCACCTTTTAGTCAGTGATGACCTTGAGCCCTGCTTCTGCTTCTGTCTCCTGAGGCAGAGATTACAGGCCTACTCTACCACAGCCAGATTCCCATTCTTTTGGTAGTCCTTGGCACTATCATTTAAGCCATTCAGAATAAAATATTTTAAGTGTAGTTTAAAGTGACAAGCAGAAGTTTCAGTGAGTGAGGGCTTTTGCCATGAAACATGGCACTTGAGTTCAATCTCCAGAACCCACGTTGCTTAAGGGGAAAAAACTGATTCCTAAAAGTTGTCCTCTAACCTACACACACACACACACACACACACACACACACACACACACATGACTGGATGGGTGGATGGGTGGGTGTGTGAGCTAGGCAGGGCAAGCAAGCAGACATAAAAAAGAACTGAAGAAAAAGAAAGGGTGTAAAATGGCTGGGAACATAGATCAGTTGGTAGAGTACTTATGTATCCTTCAAGAAGTTCTCAGTTCAGTCCCCAGCACCACATAAAACCCAAATGTGGTGGTCTACACTTGTAACCCCATTGCTGGGGAGCTGGAAACAGATAGATCAGGAATTCAAGGTCATTCTTGGCTACATAGTTAGTTTGAAGCCAGCTGGGCTAGTGAGACTATTATGTAAATAAATGGTGTGAAACTACCAACCTTCTGTGTGACAAAGGTGAGTGATGTTCCTGAAAACGCCCAGGAAGCAGCTGAGGTCAGGGAAGGAGCAAGTCTCTATACATTGAAGAAAACTGCCATCAGCTTTCCACATTCCCCATGATAAATTTCCTTGCAGCCAGGCGTAGTAGTGTGTACCTGGAGTCCCAGTTTTCTGAAGACTGACACAGAGGGTTTCCACACATTGAAGGCCAGCTTAAGCTACCCAGGGTGTACCAGGCCAGCCAGGGCTACGCAGTAAAACCTCGTCTTTAAAGAATAATTAAAAGAAAATAAATAAGTAAATAATCTTTTGTTCTTTACTTAACTAGTACATAAAACCATAAAAATGTACATTTTAACAAACCCTGTAATGGCTGATTCAGTATACATCAGTTTAAACTGTGTATTTCAGCCACGGAGTGTGGTATATCTATAAATCATTTTTGTCTGTCTGTGTTACGTCCTTTCTTTTGCTGGGATTGAACCCAGGTTTTTATAGATGTTAGGTGAGGACTCTACACATGAGCCATAGCTGTTATGATATGCGGCAGTCGGGGGACCTTGACAGAGTCTATGGCAGGTGAAGGACAAACACACCATGTGGGAAGTTTCCTGGGGAAAGGAAAGGGAGCCGGGAGAGAGGGGAGAGACAGAGACCTGCCCGCCCCTTCAGAAGAACAGCCTGGAGAGAGAGAGTGGGAGTGGAAGAGAGCCAGGGTACTTCTTGCCATGAACACGGGTGCACTCTGCCAGGTCCCCAAGGGGTGGGGCCAAGGTGTGCCAGGATACTAACAGTAGCCACTGCCCCGTTTCTTACCCATGTCCTCCTCCCTTGTGTGTCCTCATCTCCTTGCTGTAACCAGTCTACCTCCAGAGCCACCTGAGTGCTGGCTGATTGTCTACTTGGAGTGATGGTTACGTGTTCTCGGAGTCACAGGCAAGAGTGATGCTCCAGCCATTGGTTCTTTCTGGTGTGTAATGATTCAGGAAAAGAAATGTGAAAGTTCTGAAGCAATTCGAGTTTTCAGTGTGCTTGTTACTAAAGAATGAATAAGAGGCGAACGCCCATAATTGATGATTTAACAAAAAAGAAAAATGTTTTATAACTCACCAGATATAAAATGTAGGCAAAGACCTGATTACAACTAGGGTGGTTGATGGGCGCCACCAAGTGGTCTTAGCTAATATTCTTGATTTTTTTTTTTTTTTTTTTAAACACGAGTTCACTGTGTAGCCCTTACTGTCGTGGAACTGGGTCTGTAAACCAGGTGAGCCTTGATCTCAGAGATCCAATGCCTCTGCCTCCCACGTGCTGTGGGATTAAAGGTGTGAAGCACTGTGTCAGTTGAACCTTGAGAATATGGCTTGCTTGAAGGAAGGTATATATTCAATATAAAAAAATGCTCCATTTCTAGATGAAAATACTGTGGCAACATAATCCTTTGTTTATCCTCACTATAATGAGTTTTTTTAAGATTTTAAAAAAATTAATTATGGCTAGGCAGTGGTAGCGCAAGCCTTTTTAATCCCAGCACTCGGGAGGTAGAGGCAGGTGGATCTCTGTGAGTTCGAGGCCAGTCTGGTCTACAGAATGAGTGCCAGGATAGGCTGCAAAGCTACACAGAAACCTTGTCTCAAAAAAGCCAAAAAAAAATTAATTATATATGTAAGTGCATGCACAGAGGCCAAAAGATGGTTTAAATCCCCTGAAAGGCTCACAAACAGTTAGGAGCCATCCAACATGGCTCCTGGGAACACTGACCCCTTTCACCAGCTCCAGTGGCTTTGTTATTGAGTCCAGTATATGCCCTTCAGCTAAACTTTTTATAAGGGAGCTGCAGAAGGGTCCTCCAAGCAGCAGTGGTCCTTAATGGAAGTCCTTAGATTAGGTCCTTAACTCAGCAGGCACATCAGTACACATCATAGGTAGTCTCCAGCAGATTTCACAAAATAGACACACAGTGTTTATCATGTCCATTGAGGCTTGGGGCAGGTGGAGGCCAGAGATCAATATTGGACACCCTCCTCTATTGCTCCTGCTTACTCTTTTGACAGGGGTCTCTCACTGAGTCTGAAACCTCTGGTTCTACTGAGCTTGCTGATGAACAAGCCCAGGGATTCTAGCTCATAGAGTTCGGCAGGTACTTTATGGACTGAGCCATCCCCCCCCCGCTTCTTAAGACTCATGAGGTCTGATTATGTTAAAGGATGGTAGTGTCAAGGTTTGGTACATTGCAGGTGGTCCTATCATTGTCTGAAGGTACAGTTTTTAAAGCAAAGTGTGTAAGGGCTATAGATCTTGTAGAACTCATGCATCTGAGAATCCCTGCACTTGATTCCCAGCATCTTACCTTCCCCTACAAAAGGGAGCGGGGGACCCAGATTAAATCTAGGTATTTCACAGACAGTATGTGAATGTATTTCCCTTTCCTGTATACCTCTGTTGTTATCTTCCAATTTTTGGGAAATGTTCTGACCTTTTGATTGGGGGGTATTAGTGTTGCCTTTTTGTGTTTGGGGGAGACGGGGGAGTTTTTGTTTGTTTAGTTAATTGGTTTGGTTTTTCAAGATAGGGTTTCTCTGTGTAGCCCTGGATATCCTGGAACTCGCTTTGTAGACCAGGCTGACCTCAAACTCACAGAGATTCTCCAGCCTCCGCCTCCCTCGTACTGGAATTAAAGGTGTGCACCACCACTACCTGGCTTGTTGCCTTTTAAATTCTAGTGTATATGTAAGAACACCTTGGAACCTTATAGACTTAATCTGTTCAGATTGTCTTAAAATAAAAACCTAAGTCTAGCATCTTCTATGAACTATGTTATTATTGGTGGTCACAATGGAAAGAAAGCTGGCCATGCTCTACACACTGTGGAGAGACATAACTTGACATATTACTTGCTTACTGTTAATCAAAACAGAATTCCAGAGGATACTGAAGTTTGTGATAGTTATTTCTTCTAAGGAACCTTTTGCTTCTGCTGTATATCAGAATGTGAAATTATCATGATTCCCTGTGCCACCTCCAAGACATTGTTGTGCAAGCACCATGTCTTCCTGAAGTTAATACTCCTCTGTCGGTTCCCTTCCACTCATGATAGAGTTCAAGCAAGAAATGGCACCCAATATAAAATTGAACAGCCCAATAATCTTCGTAAATCCCAGGTACTTTCTAGTAGTTATCTTACCTTGAAAGACATGTTCTTAGGCTGAGAAAAATTAACGTATTATCTGGGCTACAGTACATGGAGACAACTCCATGACCTTAAAACAACTTTGCGGTTTTAGAGATATTTTAATTATCTATTTCTATTTCTATGTGCATTGGTGTTTTGCCTGCATGTATGTCTGTGTGAGGGTGTTGGAGCCTGGAATTACAGACAGTTGTAAGCTGCCATGTGGGTACTGGGAATTAAACCTAGGACCTCTGGAAGAGCAGTGCTCTTAACCACTGAGTCATCTCTCCAGCCCAATATTTTAATTATCTGTTACAAAAACTTATAAGAATAATTATATGATATTTTTCTGCTCAGAAATACTTTAAAACATAAATATGAATACAAATGAAATCCTTGTTTTAATCCTCGATGCTGGTTTTAGTTAGGGTTACTATTGCTGTGACCAAACGCCATAACCAGAAGCAACTTGGAAAGGAGAGTTTATTTCACTCACAGTTCCATAGAACAGTTCATCATTGAAAGCAGTGAGGACAGGAACCTGGAGGCAGGAGCTGATGCAGAGGTTGTAGATAGCTGCTGCTTGCTGACTTGCTCCTCAGGGCTTGCACAGCTGCTTTCGTGTAGAATCCAGGACCACCAGCCCAGGGGTGGACCACTCACAAAGGAATGGGCCCTCCCCATCAGTCACTACTTAAGAAAATGCCTTACAGGCTTGCCTACAGCCTGATCGTATGGAGGCATTTTCTTAATTAGGGCTCCCTCCTCTCAGATGACTTCAGCTTGTGTCAAATTGACAAAACTATCCAGCACAAAGCTTATCTTCCATAGTTTGGTATGCTATTTGTGTATAACCTATGTGCTATGTTTACTTTCTCACATACTTTATTTATAAAGTTTTAATTAATTTTTAAAACAGACCAATTTATGTTGTCAAGGTTGACCCTCAAATTTCTGGGCTCAAGTGATCCTTCTGCTTGAGTAGGAAGTGCCCTGGTGTGTGATTTTATTTATTTATTTATTTTTGCTTTGCTTTGCTTTCCAAGACAAAATGTGGATCTGGCTGTCCTAAAACAGCTATATAGACCACACTAGCCTTGAACTCAGAGATCTACCTGCTTCTGCCTCCCAAGTGGTGGAGTAAAAGGTGGGCAACACCACACACAAATTAAATCTTAAGCAAAAAAATTCCTTAGAAGAAATAAGTCTTATCACAAAATTCAAATAGTCTAGGATTCTATTTTGATTAATGGCAAGCAGGTTTTTATGTTCTATAAATTCTGGGAAGCTCATTACCTGTATAGTTACATAAGAAAATTATACATTCTAGTAAAAGTAAGTGAACCATAGATGTAGGGTTTTTCTTTTGTTAGGTTTCTTTGTGTAAGATATGCTCTTGCAACTGTCCTTAAACATATGATCCTCCTGCCTCAGCAATCCAGTTGCTGGGATTATAGATTTGTGCCTCCACACTATGTAATTTTATCTTTATTTTCTAGATGGAAACTAGTTATGTGTTTTAAATTTTTTGTGTATATAAATGGTAATTTTATATGGTGATTTTTTTTTAAAATAATGCCTCAGCATTTTTATATTTTTTAATACAAGCATCTTGGTAGTGAATGAACTGGGGAAAGTGAGTAAAAGTAATTTATTTCTATTCACTTTTTAGATGCCAGAATTTCAGAAAAACTCAGTTCGCATCAAGAACCCTACAAGAGTAGAAGAAATTATCTGTGGTCTCATTAAAGGGGGAGCTGCCAAACTTCAGGTGATTTTAACTTTTAAAACATTGATGCAGATTCACAATGACAGCTGCTGGGAGAGGGAAAGGCAAGTCTTCCCAGTGGAAGGTTCTGGGTCTGTCAACCACACTCCAGGGCAGCCACACCCAGGAGTAGTAGACAGTACAAGACAGGCTCCACATTCAGGTGGAGTTTGGTATTTTTGTCTTTTTTAGTTTCTTTGATCTGGTTTTTTTGATGAGAAAACACAAGCCTGGAGGTAGGAGAGGTCTCCGGAGACTGAGGAGGGAAGATTGCAATCAAAGTGTAGTGTATAAAAATTGAAGCCAACTGAAAAGTTGAAACACACTCATCTGTCTGCGGTTAGTGATGGAGTACGGCCGGGCATGGATAAAGCCATGGGTCCAATCCCTAGCAAATGTATTAACATCCTGTTCTGACAAAACCTTAGTAATGTTTTTTTTGGGGGGGAGAAGGGGGTTGCCTATACTCTGGGAGTGTAAAATCTAAAATCTCTTACCTAGAGTTGGTCTAAATACATGGAATACTCTTTTGAAAACAAAAAAGAAAATAGCCTTGAGACAGAGACATCACATAAGCCATGATCGAGCAAGCTGGAGATTAAGCCCAAGACCTTGCTGTGCTAATCGCTAATTCTCCCATTGAGTTTTGCCAGACCTCTCACGTGGGTCTTTTTTTAGTACTAAGTTCTAAGGTAACTAATACTATATACATAGATGTAAACCATTTCAGGAGTCATACTTAATACAGTTTCAAGTTATTCCATATTTTAATTAACTGAGTCATTGCCAAATTAAATTGTAACTTTATGCGGACAGAGTCGAGTTTCACACGTTTTTCTCTCTGTTAGTCTGGGATTTTTATATGTTGCTGCTGTGTACTGGATTTCTGTTTGCTTCCAACTCCCAAGATCATGGGCATGTATCGTCCCCGGAAGTAGAGAATTACATAATAAATATGAAGGAACTGAAGAAGTTATTTAGTCCAACTTCATTACAAGAATTCCTTTGCTATTTGAACTGCCCAAGTACTAATTTATTATCTCTTTTAAATGGTATCCAGAGCAGGGCCACAGAAGGCAGTGAGACCCCATCTCAGCAATATGGAAGACCAGAACCGACTCTTGGAAGATGTCCTCTATACTCATATACTCCCCACCCACCCCCACACACACACACCCACACACACACACCAAGCAGAGTGTGCTTACACGCACAATTTTTTTATTGAAAAAACAATCACTCAAATCAGTGTGTTGCTGTGTTAGATGAGGGACTTCCCAGGAACCTCAATGAGAAGACTCCAGGATGTATATTTGTTTAACATAGTGAGTGTATGATTGTAATGGGCTATTTACATTTTGCCTTCTCCTTTTCTCACAGATAATAACAGACTTTGATATGACACTAAGCAGGTTTTCCTACAATGGGAAAAGATGCCCAACATGTCATAGTAAGTGTGATACTCTTAAGTAAATGAATGTAATTGTAAACACTTATCAGTGAGATGACTGGGTTTTTGTTGTTGTTGTTATTATTGTTTTCGATTTCTCTTTTTGATATTAAAAGTGAAGGAACTTGGTTTTTTTTGTTATGTTTTGAGGAATTGCTTTTACTCACTTAGATGAATAGCTATTTTTATGTGTGCTTTTGGAAGTAAAGGGAATGGATGAAGACTTAAAAATATTTCTCATTGTGTATAGTCTATATATTACCCAAGAAACACTTGAAAAGGTTTTAAATTTTGCAATAACCTAAAAAATTACACTTATCAAATGTTGTTCATTCGTTAGGTTTTCTATTGCTGTTATAAACACCATGACCAAAAGCAACACAGGGAGGAAAATTTTGTTTTGCTTGCAGTTGCAGCCCAATGTAGGGGGAAGCCAAGACAGGAACTCGGGCAGAAACCAGAGGCAGCGGCTCAAACAGAGACTATGGAGTGATGTTGTTTACTAGCTTGCTGTTTTAATGCTTGCTCAGCCTGCCTTCCTACACAGCCAGGGATGGAACCACCCACAGTGAGCTGGCCCTTTCCATGCCAACCATCAGTCAAGAAATGCCCACAGACTTGCTCACAGGCCAATCTGATGGATGCATTTTCTCAACTGTGGTTCCTTCTTCCTAGGTGACCTAGCCTGTGTTGGAGTTGCCAAAAAACCAGCAGGCATGCCAGGGCCTAAGGATGTAGCTCAGTTCAGTAGTAGGGCACTGGCCTAGCATGTATAAAGTTCTGACACTGATCTCTGACAGCACAGAATGAAATTGTCTATAATGACAGCAGCTTGACAGGCAACTAAAAACAATTTAACACTAGTAAAATAGTATAAATTCTCTTCCACTACATACTAGAGATTGTACAACCATTGTGAGTAGTACTTATGGAGCTTAATTCTATGAAAAATACAGAGCATCACATGAAATGAAAAGAACTCAAAACCATAGATTTGATCTTAATTTTACCTAATTCACTAGTAATAAGGTAAAACTTAGAGAGGAAATATTTTACGTAAGTATTATCCTTAAGAAAATGGTATCTTTTGTGGCTGGGGATGTCCTCAGTAGTGGTATCCTTATGAGCATGAGACCCTGGGTTCAGTCTCAGAGATACCATAAACCAGGTGTAGACAGTTTATGCTTATGATCCCAGCAATGGGGCAGTAGATGCAAAAGGATCCAAAATTCAAAACCAGCCTGGGCTACGTGAGACCTTATGTCCTAGTTTGTTTTCTGTTGTTTCTATAAAACAGACCAAAACCGCCGGGCGTTGGTGGCGCACGCCTTTAATCCCAGCACTCGGGAGGCAGAGGCAGGCGGATCTCTGTGAGTTCGAGGCCAGGCTGGACCAACAGCCTCCAAAACAGAGAAACCCTGTCTCGTAAAACCAAAAAAAAAAAAAAAAAAAAAAAAAAAACAGACCAAAACCAGTGTGAGGAAATTGGCTTCCAGGGGTCAGTCCGTCCCTGAGGGAAACCATGCCAGGAACTGTAACAGAAACCGTGGAGGCGTACTGGCTTGCTCAGCTTGCTTTCTTATACTACCCAAGACTGCCGGGAGGGTAGACTTACCCACGTGACTGAGCCTTTTCAAAGCAATTACTGATCAAGCAAAATGCCCCACAGGTCACAGGCCAGTCTGTTGGGTGCAGTTCCTTAATTGTTGGTCCCTCTTCCCAGGTGGCTAGTTTGTCATGTTAACAAAAACTAGCCAGTACACCCTGTCTGAACAGAAAGAAAAGGGAAATGATATATTTCTAGATGGAAGATGAGAATGGAAACACACAGTTGGCTGTTTGAAGATCTTGGACTGTCTAGCGCAGTGCTATAGGTGAAGAATTACTAAATCTCAGGTTTTGAAACCATTACCTCCTGTGGCAATGCCATTTGATTTTTACAACACCGAAGCCACTTGCAATAACCACAGGAATTGACTTGGCTTTTAAAAATAAAAGAAGCGACTTATCTTTCTAGTTTTGGATGTGAGCCTCGCCTTTAATGACTGAGTCATCTCTCCAGCCCTCAACTCATCTTTGTTAGTGGTAGCACCAACCAGAGTATTTCTTTAATGCCTATGCTGTGCACGCTCTCTCTGTAGATATCATTGACAACTGTAAACTTGTCACTGACGAATGTCGAAGAAAGGTAAGTATCAAGTCATTTCAAACGCATAGTTAACCCTTCATTGCCTCAGATGATTAGTTTTATTTAGACAGGAATGTATGCCAAAAGCTAGGCATGATGACATACACATATAATCCCAGACTAGAGTCCTGAGGGGAGATGATTTCAAGTTTAGGGCCAGCCCGAGATGAATGCTAAGTGCGTGTAGTCATATTTGGCACATAGTAAGCATTCAGTAAAGACCAAATTTACTGTATGTATTCCATCTTGGTTTTTTCTTCTTCAAAACAGGGTGTCTCTTTTAACTTTGAACTCACTGGCTAGCTGAGGAAAGCATTCTGTTCCCCTTTCTTTGACCTCCAAAGTACTAGGATTACAGGGTGTGCAACCATTGCCTGCACAGCCAGTGTTGGAAGTTGTTATTACAACACTCTGGGTCCTTACATTAACTGGGAAGGCAAAGGTGCTTGAGTCTCATTCTACTTTGCCCCTTAAACTGATCAGGATCTTCCTGGGGTGCCTGCCTCTATCTTAACAGGGCAGCTCAGGGTACCCATCAAAGTCAATTACTTTGATTTCAGGACTAAACTTGTTGTCAGGTCTGGTGATTGAGGCCTGTAATCCTACTACTTGGGTTGAGTCAGAAGGATTTAAAGGTTCAAAGTCACCTGGTTAACTTAGCAAATAACCTGGCCGAAAATAGAAAGTAAAACTAGGGGGCAGGTCAGCAAGATCACTTCCCTAACGCTGGCGGTGCTTGCATTCAGTCCCCAGTACCACAGCACCCGCAGAACAGAGCTGAGAATAAACCTCCCGTTTTTTCTAATGGCATTCTGAATTGCTGACTTGGAAGTAAGCAGGCTTTGGCAGTTGTATCTGATTATATGTAAACCAAGATCAAACCATCTCCAGTTTTAATCTTTACTGAAAAGTATCTTAAAGGCCCCCATGGTTTTTTTATTGTGTGCATTGTTTTCTGTAACAATCAGGGAAGTGACAAAACTGTAATCCTCACAGCTAAGTTGCTCCTTCCTTCTAGTTACTGCAGCTAAAGGAGCGGTATTACGCTATTGAAGTTGATCCTTTTCTCACTGTGGAGGAGAAGTTCCCTTACATGGTGGAGTGGTGAGTGCGGGTGCAGGGAAGTGCTAAGATAAAAGCTGTGGCTTGTTTTCCCCCTCTCGTGTTTACAGAGATACACAGATAATGAAGCAGAAAAAACTTAGTGACTTAACAGCTTGTGATTTGTCTCAAGATGGCATGCAGTGAGAGTAAATAAAAAGTCTGTCGCATAAGTCCTAAAGCCAGATCTAAGAACAAAGAATAAGAAATGGGGTCCACACCACACCGCCCCAATGGCTGTGCTCATCACAGCCCAGCATTCGGGGAGACCACGTGAGAGCTTTGTGTGGAGGCTCCGGGACTAGACAAACCTTGGCAGATGAAGAGGTGCAGAGGATTCCGTCCACCAGTCCCTCTGGGAAGCATCCCAGGAAGTGGAAAATGCTTTGATTTGAGCCAGGAATATTCCCAGTAGCTATCAGTGGAGCGTGGTCAGGTCACCTGTGGGAAAAGAGACCTTCTCTGCCTACCTGTAGAATCAAAACTGGAGTCAGTTTTGGAGAAACGTACAAGGATTGATTTCTGGGTGGAGAAAGGCCTGTGTGCAGTTAGGTTTATGGCAGGGGTGGTAAGCTCCAGTCCCTGAGGCACCTGGTGTAATCCCAGACTTTCCAGCTGAGGCAGAGGGCTTGTTTCAAGGTTGCATGGTGAGGGCACTCTAGCATTAAGATGTCTCACAAGAGGAAGGAGATGGGAAGCTGACAAAGGAAGGGGTCGGGACAGTTAAAGAATTTCTCAGCTTATGTCAGAAAGGAGAAAGCAGCTTGTCAGCCCGGGTTAGACTGAGTCTCAGCTGTAGACTGAGGAAAGGCTTGCAGATGTTTCTGTGTTGTCCTCACTGACATGTTTACAGGGAGCCTGCATCTGTGACACCTGGGACATTCGGGAAGGACACCATCACACATTTTAAGCTCTTCAGGGTCAGAGTTAAGTCCACATAGTAAGGACCAGCAGCCATGATCTCATTCACACTCAGGAATGCTGTCAATAAAGATAATAGTTTTCATATTTTAACGGTTATCTTTCCCCTCTGGTCATAATCTCCAGGTATACTAAGTCACATGGTTTGCTTGTTGAACAAGGCATACCAAAAGCCAAACTTAAAGAGATTGTGGCAGACTCTGATGTGATGCTCAAGTAAGTCTCCCGGGTTTTGTTGCTTTTATTGTCTACATAATTAACTGCTGCTGTGTATATTCAGTTACATGTTTCATTAAAATAAGTTATCACAGTATTCCATAAAACAAGTAAAATATAGCAGTGTCACAGAATGAATTGTGCTGAAGTAAGAACATTCTAGGTTAGAGCTGTTAGGGTTTAGGGTGTAGCTCAGTTAGCAGAGTGCCTGTCTAGCACACCCACAACTCTTTGTTTGGTCCCAGCACTGAATAAAACTGGGAACTTTAAAACAGTTTTTTTAAAACCTGGGCAATAGAGACAGGAGGATCCTGAATGAAACAGCAAGTCTGAGGCTAGCTTGGGATACATGAAACCCTGTCTTTAAAAAAAAAAGTTTTCATTTAGATTTGGGAAGAGCATTGTAAGATTTAAGTTATTTGTATTTCCTTTCTCCACAATTTTACAAAATTTTAAGAATGATGTGCAGACTTACGTTACCATTACAATTTTCAAGTTCTTTAGGAAGTCAGTTTTGAATGCCACAGCAGCAGGACCTCAGGCGGGTGGGTGGCCTTCCAGCTCACCCCAGTGGGCTTTTCGAAGTATGATTTCACCCCTTGGGTTTTTTTTTTTTTTTTTGGTTTTTCGAGACAGGGTTTCTCTGTATTGTTTTGGAAGCTGTCGGTCCAGCCTGGCCACGAACTCACAGAGATCCGCCTGCCTCTGTCTCCCGAGTGCTGGGATTAAAGGCGTGTGCCACCACTGCCCGGCTCACCCCTTGTTTTTAATGGTGTAAATTACTGGCTTCTATCCATGCTTGCTGTAAGTCGAAAACATCTAACTTGTACTGTTAGAACTGGTAGCAGGGTTAAGAGTCATCTGTTGATGTGGTCGTTGTTTTGGAGTGAGAATACAATTTGTAAAAATAGAGATTTTTTAGTTTATACCTTCTAAATAACATTAACACTGTCTCCACTCACAGGGAAGGATATGAGAATTTCTTTGGTAAACTTCAACAGCATGGTATCCCTGTGTTCATATTTTCCGCTGGTATTGGTGACGTGCTTGAAGAAGTTATCCGTCAAGCTGGAGTTTATCATTCAAATGTCAAAGTAGTATCCAACTTCATGGATTTTGATGAAAATGTAAGAATATGAAATCATTCCTTAAGGCTAATATTCAATCTGAAATATTTTAATCATATAAATGTGCATATTCTTTATTAATATCAGGTAGACATTCATTAAATTAGACATTGCTGATAGGCTATTAATAGGATTCATTCATTTGCTTTCTCAGTGTTGTATGTGTATTTTATGCCCTCCTTAAAGTTCTATTAACCAGTTACTATTAAAATTCACAAAACTTACATGACAATAATTTAACGGTGCAACCCTGAAGACTACCTCTTAAGTGGGAAAAAGATGAATAATACTGGCATTTTCTGAATGAGTATACTGTAAAGTGTTCTGGGCATGTTGAAGAATGATGTCATCCCAGCATTCAGAAGGCTGAGGTTAGGGTAATACGCTCAAAGCCTGGGCTACATAGTCTCAAGCAAAATAAAAAAACAAAGCAGTAAAAAACATAAAATAGAATCCTTTGGCTAGGAACAAAGTGAAAAGCCAAAGTTGAATTCTTGACTAGCTGAGTTTTATTGTTTAAAGTAGAGAATATGCAGTTTTTTGGAGCCCTTCCTATCTGTCCCAAGTGTGATGGATTCTGTGTTTTGAAATCAAGTCAGAGACAAATTTAAAGACATGAAAATACTGGCAGCTGTTTAGAATCATAAAATGTGAAGGTCTAACAAACAGAATTTGTAAAACCCGTCATTTCAAGCCAGAAAGATGGCTCAGTGTGTAAGTGCTTCCCAACAAGCCTGACACTGGTGTTCCCCGGTGCACAGGGCAGAAGGAGAGGGCCAGCTCCTGAAAGTAACCCCACCCTCCAAACATTGACTGCCATGTGTGCCTGCATACGGATGCATACCGTGATCAATGTAACAAACATTTTTAATAGGGAGTGCTGAAAGGATTCAAAGGAGAACTAATTCATGTATTCAACAAACACGATGGTGCCTTGAAGAATACGGACTATTTCAGCCAACTGAAAGACAACAGCAACATCATTCTGCTGGGGGACTCCCAAGGAGATTTGAGGATGGCAGATGGCGTCACCAACGTTGAAAACATTCTGAAAATTGGGTATCTGAATGACAGAGTGAGTGTGCAGTGCTGTAGTTAAGTTTTTAAATTTAAGATGAAACATTGTAATTAACTGCCAAAGGCATGTGAAGACGTTGTTTTTCTGGCCTACTTTGGCAGTGATTAGAGATGAGAAGCACAGACCTGTGTGAAGTGTGGAGGTCACATTCTCAAAGGGGCAGTAGCAGCACTCCCTAGTCCTGAGCACCGGAAAGTCAGAACCAGCGGGGTGGAAAGAAACTGTCTAGGGAGAATCTAAGTCTGAGGACTGTCATACCAGCAATCAGGCGGCTGAGGCAGGACCACTCAGAGTTAACGACCAGGGGAAACTTATACAGAAAGACCCTGTCTCAAAAAATTAAAATCTTAATCAGAAACAAAATGATTTCCTTTAAAAAGAATTTGAGAATATTTATATTTCAAAACTTTTATGAAATTAGATTTATATTCTACAGATCTAACACTGTGAGGTTAAAGAGGTTAAAATGGAAATTATTTGCCTTTCTCTGCATGTTAATTTTATTTTTGTTCTTCCGTTGATTAGGTGGACGAGCTTTTAGAAAAATACATGGACTCTTACGATATTGTTTTAGTAAAAGAAGAATCATTGGAAGTCGTCAACTCAATTTTACAAAAGACATTGTAAGCAAACAGTTTGAGAGAAGACGTCTCCCACAGGTCAGCTGAAACAAGCACTGGCCATCTTGAGGAAAGACTCTTATTTATAATACATTCTTGCTCTTGGACTCCCCTTCCCCTCCTATGGGCGTCCTCTGATCTCCAGGTGTGTTGGACCTGCAAACTGCAGCCCTTCTTCCGCCTCCATCACAATACTACAGATTGTCTAAGCAATTAAAAACCATCTTGAGGCAAATCAGACAAAGAACTCCTTGTCCCAAGTGAATTCTGTAGTTTGGTGTTCTGCAGTTTCTGGGCCCTTTACCAGGTGAGCGTGGAGGCTCAGAGCCACTGTCTCAGTGATTTTAACCACTGCCAGTTTTGTAATTTGGGTGGAGTGTGATGACACCATCTTCTGAAATTGTGTTTTGTTTGGTTATTCTGTCTGAAAAAATATTTGTCAGGGAAGTCCGGCACTTTGTACCTGAAAAACCATTGGTGTCTATATCACTAACATTACAAATATTCTGTGTGAAACACTGAAAATAAACCTGAAATGGAAAGCTTTTTTAAACTCTGCTGTTGAGATATTCAGCCTGTCATAGCGGCATCTGTCTGTCATCCTGGCACATGGGAAACAGAGGCAGGAGAATTAAGAATTTAAGGTCAGTCTCAAGTCAGACCAGCCTTGGCTACATGAGATAGAGGGACAAAAACAAACAAACAAAAACTATTCGGCAAATATTTATATTTATTGAGCACTGCCATATTTTTTCTTCTTGGTTACTTTCATCAGTGATACATAAATCCTAATCTCTGTCATAGTGGATTTTTACATTAATCCTACTTTCAAAGTAATCTTAAGTCTAAGCATAGAAAACTATTGCTGGAAAAATTTAACTTGTCCTTCAAAAATACTGAGGACCATGAAAACTCTCTTCTTTTATTGAACACAAGAAAAGAGTTCCTTGTAAAAGTTTCAGAAACAAAATATAGCTGAATATGTTAGTTAGTTAGTTTTCTATTGCTGTGATGACACAAGGCAGCCACGTCCACTTAGAGGAGAGAGTGCGGATTTGGGCTTTTTCAGTTCTGGGAGTTGGCCTTCCTGTGGTGAAGCAGAGGCAGCTGTAGCAGGAGGGGCCGCAAGCCCACAGCAGAGGAAACACACCAGCAATGGCGGGAGTCTTCGGACTCTCAAAACCCTCCCACTTAGGGACCAAGTATTCAAATGACCAAGACATCTCATCAGACCATCACACTGGGTCCCTGGAGGGCGGGGAGTGACTAAGTAATGCAAGGTTAGAGCCTTCTCCAGTCTCCATTCCACAGGGTTTAGTTCCCACTGTGGTACATTTGGTCCTGACTATAACATTTGAACTTCAATGAGAACAACCACGTGGGTTGCTGATGGCCACCAAGAGTGGTCTGCTTGGGCTGACCATTCATTGTGAAGAGCAGTCTCTAGTCCAACCAGATGGGACAGAAAGGCAAGTTAAACGATAGAAACCCTCTTATCCTGATCATCCATGTTTTTAATTTTTTAATAATATGTGAAGGGGCAAAAGTATTTAATAAGTATTTCCAAGTAAACTCAGAAGTAGACAGTAAGCTTGCTGTGCTAGCAAATATGGACAGTCCCAGCAGCTTGGAAGGCTGAGCCCACACCAGCCCTTGAATCTGCCAGGTTCAAGACTAGCCTGGGCAACATAGCAAGACCCCATCTCAAGTAAAAAATTTTTAAATGTAAACCCGTGGGCTCAAAGTATTGTGCAGTTTTAACATTTTTAAACGTTTACAAGGTTCCTAGTTCAATGCCCACAACCACATTTTTAAAACTAAATTGTAGACAACATGGTATAAGCATATCAGGACTGCCCAGAAGGCTTTCGAGTATAATCAGTAATCTAATGATAATAACACTTCATTCTTATATTAGGATCAGGTCCTGCCCAGCTAGGTCCTAGAAGTCTAACTGGGGTGACAAAAAGATGATGAAAGGACAGACACACACAGAAAAGCTGGAGACGCACCTCCTACTAGGCAACAACAGAGCTGTTTACATGTACGGCACAGGAAGACTAGCTAGTCTCAGCAGGAGGTGTCTGTAGAGGAGCAGTCCCAGGCTGTAAACATCCAGGAGGAGGAAGATGCAGTCAATGCTGTAAACTGTGGGTCTGCAGTCCACCCAGAGAAGACTGCCAATCCCCATGGGTCTGGGGCATTGGGGTCCTTACCAATAAGGCACATTCACTCAGGGTTTCATCTACTCCTACACTCATTTGGAGTTTCCTCCACGCCCCACAACTTCTCATACTGGCTATTTCCAAAGGGCTTTATACTATGCTTCCATAAATAACATATATTGTCTGTAAAGAATACTGAAGTTAATGGGTTAGATATGGCAATGGATACAGACAATGCACTCTGCAACAGGAGTTTGAGGTCAGCAGCTTAGGCTATGTAATAACTTTGTGTCGCAAAAATAATGAAGATAAGAGCTGCATTCTTTTTTTTTAAGTGCTAGGGACCAAACCCAGGGCTTTCGCCAGGGTGGGAATCTATGTTCTAAGCAGGATGCAGCCCCCAGTTTGGTTAGGTCACTTCAGTCATAATAACAGGTGTCCTAGGAGGTGGTGTTCTCCAAGGCTCCTGCACACACCTGCTACTGCAGGCTTAAAATCAATCATATCTCACCGCTACCCGGTTACTCCTGAAGCCCAGGGTATTTGCATTCAAGTTTGGTTTTCAGAGTTTAATTTCTTAATGTAGCCATCAAGAAATGAGTTACAGGGTCTGAAGAGATAACTCAGCAGGTAAAGACACTTGTCACCAAGTCTGACAACCTGAGTTCAGTCCTGAAAGTCACACAGTAGAAGTAGAGAACCAACTCTTGCAGGTTGTCCTATGTCCCCATAGGCTATGTGCCTGTATATAACCCACTCCCTCTCTGCCATACACATACTATGCATATATACATATATGTCACATGTTACAGAAATGGGAATCAGTGTTCCCCCTCTCACACACACACAGACACACATGATGTCTATGTATGTATGTATCATCCTGAATACACCTCTGTTGAAAGAAGGTGGCTTGAACAAAGAAGAAAGGAAAAACTCAACCACCAACCTTAGTTTCAGATGCACAAATCCCAATGAAGAAATAAAAACAACACACACATAACACAAAATACACATACCTCCAAAAATACAAGTCCCATAATAATGGCACCTAATGAAATGACTTGGGACTCCCAGACAAAGAATCCAAAAGAAGACAAAGTAATAAATGAAACAGGAAGTCAGTCAGATTGCTGAAGAAATGCAGTTCAGTTTGCTGAAGAAATGTACAGGGTGAATGAATAGGGGACCCTGGTATCCGTCTGCAAATGGGCATAAGGAACACTGGGAGTGAACTAGGACCACAGAAGCATTTGAAATGGAAAGTACCTTAAACTCTCCATATGGTCTCTGAGTTACATAAGATACCAAAATGGGCCAGCTCAAAGGAGACCTTCCAACAGAAACCGAATTTGGCTGTTGGTTTCATTGTGCAGTCAGCTTTTCTGTCAATATAAAAAATTAGATAATCAAGAGAAAAGTTTATTTAGGCTCAAAATTTCTCTTCCTTTGGGCCTCTGAAAAGGTAGGCCATACCCTGCTCCTAGCACTCAGGAGACATGGTCCACCCCTCACCATGAGCGTGGGAGAGGTGACTGCCCCTTGCTAGAGGGGGGCGGCCCCAATGGCCCCAACTGACCAGCTCAACTACCATCCAGACCCACATCTTGGGCCTTGGATTTGCCCACCATAACATCTACCCCTACCCTGTCTATGACCTGGAGTGCATGAAGGGACTGGTCCTTCAGAACCACAACCACAGGATCTCCATGACTCAGGGCAACAGCAGAATATTTCGGTGAGTGACCAGTGATGATGGTGTACCAGAGGCCTTGAACCAGACCAATGACTCATTGCAATGAACATTGTGTGGGTGGGGCTGATTGGACCAAAGGTTATACTGCATGACACACCACAGCACCCATGTCACTAGGAATGAAGAGATGTTGGAGAGACGGAGGATCGAGATGGGTTTTTTGTTTTGTTTTTAATTGATTTGTGAGGATGCTACAGGGGTGAGGGAAGGATGTGGAGGGACTGGGAAGTGAGTGGGATTGGAGCACATGATATGAAATTCTAAAAAGAATCGGTAAAAGTTTGTTACTAAAATGTTTTTCATAATTTAAAAAAAAGCCATAGAGTCAAGAATACATAACAGCAAAACTTACATCTCACAGCCAGAAAATAAAGAAGGCCATACCACTATTCCAGTCTTCTTGAAGGGCTAGCTCCCAAGGACTATAGGCTTCCCACCAAACAAGATGTGAGGGCACACACTGTAATCCAGCACTTAGGGTGCAACATACCACATTGCATAAACTGTGTGATGAATAGCACACATCTGTAATCCCAGCCCAGACTACAGTCTCCTAAATTTAAATGAATGAATGAATGAATGGATGAATGAATGAATGAATGAATGAAATCCAAGCTAAACCAAGTGTGATGGGTGTCTGCTGTCCCAACTATTCTGGAAGCTGAAGTAGAAGGATCACTTCAGGGCAAGAGTCTGATAATAGACTAGAGACATAAGACCCCAGACTCAAAAAAAAAAAAAAAATACAAACTCAACCAGCATTTTAAACATGCACAATGTAAACTGAAAATGATTCTGTGACTGAGTGGACCTAAATGTCAGCAGCGCCCTCCTTATTAAATAAAAGGGCTCGAGTTCCTTAGGAAAGCCAAGGGGAAGAACTTAAAGTAAATAGCTGTTCCTGGACACCTAAGACAGTAAAGCAGCGGATGGAAGAGCCAGTGAGTGCTTAGAGCTACAGGCCTCCAGGCAGGCCAACTAATAAAGTCCCCGTCCATGTCCCGTCCCCCCGCCCCCCCCCCGTACATGGGTTAGAGGGGCTCTCACTATGTGACCTTCACGGACCTGCTACTTCCCACGAAGGCTTCAAACTCGGGGGCGTTCCGCCTCACCTCTGCACTGGGACCATGAGCACGTCCCACCATGTGGGTTCTGGGAATCAAACTCAGGTTCCCGTGCTTGCATGACAAGAACTTCACCCACCGAGTCACCTCCCCAAACTTCACCCACGAGGCCAGCGTTTGAGAACCCCAGCCCCTGAGGTCTTTTCCTTCTGGCTTAGGTTGGGGTTCACCGGATGGGAGCCAATGGCGGGCGCCCAGCCGGAGTGTGAGAGAGATGGTGTGTCTCTCATTCTTCCCTCGGCTCCAGTACCAGCCAGGCTCTGGAGGGAGCTAACTGCCTCAACACATAAATTCAGGTTCCAACTGATTCACCTTAACCTCCAGGCCCAGGAGTGGCAAAGAGCCTCAGTATCTCACCGTTTTCCTGCTCCCCTGAGCCCTGCCCACAATGTAAATTGTCCTTTCAAGTAGCTTATCTAGTGTGTTTCCTCCCAGGAACCGTCCCGTCCCTATAAATGTGTCCCAAGGAGTGTTCTGTAAAAAAATGCAATGCTGTCCTGTCGCGTTT